AGTGGATAGGGAGGAAACAAAAAGGCTTTAGGTTTAAACGAAGTCATAGAAGAAAATAATGTGGATTAAAATCTCACACAATTACTCAAAGGAGCTTACGAATAATGCTGTATGAGTATATGATTTAAGATTGCCAGAGTAACAGAGTTATAGCCCAGTAGTTAAGAGGGATGCTTTAAGGGGCTCTGATATTTTCAGAGGCAATTTTATTTTAAAATACCTGTATCAGATAATCAGTGATGGTTGAGTAAAATGATCACAGTTTCCCTAGGTTAGATAGCCATTATTGGTGGGTAAGAATTAGAGCTCAAATTATAAAGTATGCTAGATTTTTGCTGGTTTTTTCTTTTATTCTTTTACACTGTATACAATTTAACAATTACAATGTTGTCATCTTAAAAGGCTAAGTCTCCTACCACCCTTTCCCCCTTTCAGTAGCTTACTACATTTTTTTGTCCTCATTGTTGGGCCTCGGGTAAGTTTCTCCATTCTGCTGTCCATTATTCTTTTCTGGGGACCAGCTTCCTTCTTGACTCCTTTGAAGCCTTTACTCCCTTTAGTCTCAACTATATTGTCTGCTTTTATGTCTCCTCACTTGGGCCTTTCCTACACCTCATTATAGAAAAGGTTGATGAAAGTGGAAATGCGGTGATGATTGGTGATTGTGAGAATAAAGCTAGTGCTGTAATTGTATTTTTTTTTTCCCTCTCAAAGATGCAGTAGTTCTAACTATGCTTGAAATTTACATGCCATCTTTTATATCCTAGCTGTGTGAAGCATTGCCTTATGGTTCTTGGACAGTTTTTCTTTGTTGATGAAACAGGATTAAAAGTAATATCTACAATATCTATATCAAATGAGTGTTAGAAGAATTAAGTGAAGGCATATTATATAATTAGAGCTTATAAATTTGTTATTTAGTTAACTCAAATTTGTCATCAGCACTACTAAGGATACTATCACTTTTGATTCCCTGTATGTTCTGTTACCACTTTTTATATGTTTAGAAACTGAGGTTAAAAAAAGTTAAATAATTGTCCACAGTTATATCATCTGGATTCTAATCTTGCATGATTCTAGAATACTTGCTCTGGACTAAAAAAGTGGTGGCTTCCAGGAATCACAGAAATGAGCAGGAATGCTGCTGGTCCTTGCTCAACAGTCTTTGTTGATTATAACAACTGTTTCAGGGACAGGGTCATGTACTGGCAGACTATGCTAGACCTCCTGTCTGGAGGCTTGCGTTTTAGTTCAGGCTTTCATCCTCGGCTGTTTTGATTTAGAACAATTCTCTTAGGTTAGAACAATTCAAGCTTAGGTTATATTCATAATCAGTAACCTGGAAATAATGATAGAGTTCTATAGAGGATGGGATGAGAGGATAACAATAATAACCAAGAATAACTCATGGGAGAGAATAAGGTGCCTAGTTTTTCTATATAGGCATTTGAAATAATAGAATGCATAATATAAGGTTAACTGTTGAAAACTTTATCTTTCCTCTGATGTTATTTGAGAATTCTTTACTGCTTCTTGAAAGTTAAAGACGTATTTCATGATTCTAGAGTCTGAAGTTCCAGTGGCACTGTGTGCACTAGGAGTTCAGAAACTTAAGCTATACACTATTAAATATTACATTTAGTGAGAGGATAATAAAAGCAATGTCGATCTGTGCAGGTGTTGAGTAGGAGAGTGGGTTTGATATTAACACGAATGAATTTGCAACTTAAAACTGTATTAGGTCTCTTCTTGTGAGTCCTTGGTTATATCAAGGCGTATTGCACTTTAATATAGTTAAATCTTTCTATACATTGCTCTGCACTCACTGTCACTGATCCAGAAATTTCTAGAAATTAATTTCTAGAAATTAATGTCACATATGATCTATTTTATAGATGATATTTCATAGATAATACATCCATCATTTACTTAACCATTACTATTAGGGATAAAGAGATCTGAGTTTTTTGGCTAATTTCCACAGCTCTGTCAACTTAAATGGATGGGAGGAGGAACTTCATGCAGGTATTCAGTGCTGAGAAGTGTATTGGAAGAGCTTGACCCAAAGAGAACAAACCCTAGAACATTGTGAGTTTATTTTTGGTATGGAATATTTAGGTAAAGCATATTCCTATCTGAGAACTAATAGATTTTGTTGAGATAGTTTCAGAAAGTGAGATTATAAGGAAGTTAGACCTCAGAGTTTCAGGGACTAGCAGCTTATGATTCCTGGAGCCAGGAGGTATGAGGCAAGAATTGAACCCTCACATACCCCCCACCTTACTGGCAGAAATGCAGACAGCCCAAAAGGAGGCTCAGGATTGGTGCTACTAATACTTGCCAGGGAAAGACTTTTCAAGGTTAAGACATTTAAGGTGAGAAAAAGTTTCCCATTTGGGAAAAGTTTTCCCATTTTGATATTGATTAGTTTAAAATTAGGAATCAAAACTGGCATTCAATTAGAAATCTTAGTTGTTTGAAATAGTTTATTTCCTGAGATTCTAGATTGCTGCTTTTGTTGTTATACATTCAAAAGTTGTTCCAGAACGGAAGGGTAAACCAGAGTTGTGATCTTTAGGTTTTAGTAAAACATTTTGGAAAACATGCTTCTTCAAGTAGTTCTTAACAATTTTTAAAATTATGAGTATAAATCATTTACAATTTTTCATCATATTATAAATCTTGGGTTTTTATTTTTATTTTTTTCTGCCAGTCCTGGGGCAAACTCGGGTCCTGGGCACTGTCTGAGCTTATTTTTTGCTCAAGGCTAGCATTCTGCCACTTGAGCCACAGTGCTACTTCTGGCTTTTTCTATTTAAGTAGTACTGAGGAATTGAACCCAGGGCTTCACGCATGCTAGGCAAGCATGCTACCACTAAGCCATACACTCACCCCTTGGATTTTTTTAATGTAGTTGTTATGTTCTTAAATATATTCATGTTAGTCAAATGCTATAATTTATAATAATATCCATTTAGAAAGTATTCTTGTATATGATTAAATTTTAGTGTTTGTTACTTTTTCTTCTTGAACTTTATACAGGTTTTACCATAAATATTATGCTTACAACCCTATCATTGAACCACTTTATGATATTTTTCTGATAAAAAACTAAGGTTTTTTTTTAATGACCATATGGCTTTCAGAGATTTTAAAAAGATGTAGTTAGTGATGATTAGTACAAAGTAATATTCGGTGACTTACAAATTTTGATGTGTTACTTTTGTTGAAAAATAGTTTGATTGAAAATATACTTCTTAATGGTATTTTCCTTTTTCAGTTAGCTTAAAATTTGTAAATTAATGTTAGTCACTGAAGAAAATGTTTAACATGTTTTTATTCTCTCTTAATATTATACAATGTGAAATTTTGCTCACATAAATGAATTGATGAGAATGAGGATATTAATTTTAACACTCTTAACTCATTTTTTGGACTCCTTGTTTGCATTTGAGATCACAGTGATCATTATTTAAAATTATCTTTAATCATTTATCAGCTGCCAATTCAATGAGGTCACCTCGATTTATTCTAAGTGAAGAATTGGCAAAGCCACCTACATTGCAAAAGAGTGAGTAGCTTAGGGCCATTCACTTTTTCTCTGCAATATTTCTGATTGTCCCCATGTCCTGCCCAGCGTTGTTTTTAGCCCCTCCTGTTCTCTCGTGGGTGAATTTGGTGAAGTATGAGATGGATGTGGTTAGAAAGGAAAGGTGGAAAAGGCTATCCTATCTAGGCACATTCCAAGAAAGGCTTGGTTTGGGCAAGGGCACTTAGAAAGTTGATGTACAAAGTGTTTTTATTATCTAAGTGCCTACATAAACTTTGGAAACTGAGGTTCATCCATGAGTCTCTGTTCATCCATGCATGTCTCTGTTTAAAGTGCTAGTATTCAGTAGGCTCTTAATTAAAAATACATTTTATTCTTTCTGTGTCCTTTATTTAGAGCAGTGCTGTCCCAGGTAAATAGTTTATGCTGTCTAGGGGTAATATCAGGTCTTGTTTTGCCTCCATACATCTGTTAGTCATTTTCCATCTTCACAATTCTAATTCTCTACAAATTTTCTAAATGAGAATTAACACCACTAGAAAGCTCTTAACTTTTCACTATCTATGTTGTGTTAGTCCTACTCCCATTTTCTAGTATTTTGTCAAATCATATCTAAGTAGCTTAATGTAAGAACTGCAATTTTGAGTGAGCAGCCATCAGCCACAGTCAGATTTTTTGGCTCTTGGCTGTTTCTTTGTGGTATCAGTTGATACAATTATGACTGTTCAAGAGATCTCTGATAGAACTTATATTCGTCTTTTTATTTTAACTGAAACCAGGGAGGTTAAACTAGTAGTCCAAGGTCACAGAAGTGGTGTGTAAGAAAAATAGAACCTGTGTTTGTTAACTCCCAGTGTTACACCCTTTGCTTCTTCACACCTTCTGCCTCCTTCTACTAATTGCATTCCTCACTTCAATCCTACTTAATATTATTTGTTCCAGGGACTGACTAGCTTTGGCAACTCAGCATTATTTTTTAAATAGAAAAGCGTTTACTTTTTTTACTTTCTCAAACCAAAAATACTCCTTACCTCCTAGCAAATACTTCTGCCTCCTTGTAGTGCACAGCTGGGCAAGCCTGGGGGCTCGCAGCCCCAGGGCAGTGGCCCTAGCGGAGGGAGGAGATATTAACAGGTCAGAGTAGAGGTGGATTGGCAGAGCTGGGGCTGGTGGGAGGTGGGAAGCTTACATCATTTCCCTGAACTGGGCTCTGGCCGGGAGGCCTTACTTTCCCCAGTGTAATAGTTTACCAGATTGACAAGGGATTCGCAAAAGAAAGAAAAGGTATGGCAGGATGGATGCACACCCCGTTCATAAATCTGTGGTATTAGTTGAAACTGTCAATAAGTAACTAGAAGCAGCCTAGACTATCTGTGCCTCGCTCTCCCCTAGCTCAGTTCCTTTCTGCTCCGCCCCATCCCTGCTCTCTGCTGCTCAGATCAGCTTCCTGCTTCTCTGAAAGCTGTTCTATAAAGCTGGTCTGCCTGCTTTCACTGGAAGCATTATATTCTTAAGACTGAGTCGGGTTTTGTGGAAGTATTGTTGATTTGACTCTCTTTGGGGAATGGAAGGTGAGGGAGGACTTTAAAGGAAGAAAGGGGCAGGCTGAAAAAGCAAAATCATCAAGAATTTTGTTGTCACATCTTGCCGTGCCGGTGTTACAGCCAGCTCTATAGACTGCTGCACTGAAAACATTTCTATGAGAGGTATGTGCCTGAAAAATGGAAAGGTGACTGTTGGCTATGGAGCAAAGCTGCGTGTCCAGCAGCTGCTCAGATGTCTGTATGATTGTAATTCCAGTGTTTTGATATGAAAATGGCAATCATTACTTGAAACTTATACCCTTAACTAGCTTAATAGTTAAGAAAAATATTAACTGTGTGCTTTGTTCCCACTTCAGGACTCTTGATATGTTCCTTAAGGCTGAATAAGTCTAGTGAAATCCACAGTGTTTTTCTAGGCTCTTTTGGTGGTGGTTTTCTGTAAACAAGATGATGGTCTTTAATACCTCTCATTATTTATGAACCACATGACAAAGATTAATGAGAGAAACTTCAAGTAGGTTAAAAGAAGCCTCAGATTCATTATAAGCTTTTTACACTGACAGATTGCAAAAGTAAAAGGAAATGGGTGTTTTACTGTGACCTAAAGTGAAAGTTTTAAAGTTTAGAAGGGTGTATTAAATTGAAGTGGAAAAATCGGTAGTGGCCACTGAAATTGGAAATACAGCCCACCTACCATCCATGCCTGGCCCAAAGACTTGAACACATGTGAGTGTATCTTTTCAAAGGAGATTAGGAAACCTGTATGAATGTATTTATCCAGTAGTCAGAGAAAAGGATTAGGAACTGCAACTGAAGGAAGTATAGAGAACTGTGTATTGATTATCAAAAATTCAGGCTATTCGTTACAGAAAGTTTTAGAAAACATTTAAAGCAGGAAAATAAGACTATTTTGTCATGTGTATTGGATAATGGTACAAAGTATTTTCTGTTTGATTTCAATTATTTTATCATGGAACACAAACTAGGGAAAAATTCTGATTTAAGCATGTTTAAAATTTCTTTTACAACACTTAGAAACTAAATTGTATACGCTTTACATATGAAGTAGCGAATTGTTCTTCTCCACAAAAAAAATGCTTAAATCTTCAAAATCAATTTTTCAGGAGCCGATCTTGCTAAATAAAGCTAAATTCTTTTCTTTGAGAGTATTCCTCTCTTTGAATAAAATGTCATTTTATTTCTCCCGAAATGCTTGCAAAAAGGGATTAATTTTCATGACCATGGGGGATAATGATGAGGTTTCTAGGGCTGGGGGGTATGTTGCTCAACTGCTGAATACTTGCTTAGCACCTTCAGGCCCAGAGCTCAACCCCAGCATCAGAAAAGAAAAAAAACAAATAAGTGAGTGAATGAATGAATAGACATTTCTGCATGAGAAAGATGACCTGGTGACTGCTAAGATCCTATTTACATTGGTCATTTTCTAGTGTGGCTTCACAGTGGAAGCTCTGGAGAACTTTTATTACTTACTATTGATGTGGTGGGGCAAACATTGATAGTTTCAACATTAATGTCAGTTATTTCTAATTTCTACATCATTGACAACAGTTGCATTACTTGGGGGCATTCTAGTAGTGATTCCTTTTTGTGTAGTTCATATTAACATCAAATCTGCTTTGACATATGCCCTCTGTGGTTCAGACTCCTGTCACCTAACAGCTAATCAGGTACTTATTATCAACTCTCCCCCAAGACCTTTTCAAGGCTAAATATTAGTTCTATTTTTCCTAGTCTTCAGACTCATTTTCTAGTTTCTTTCAGTGTTCTAGTCATTTTTCTTCCAGGAATTGTTCTTAAACAGGGTGCCTTTGGGAGCGAGCCCCTCACTCTCTCTGTGGGGTCTCTCATTCTGGACATGATACTTGTTTTTGAATGGCTAAGATGTATCAACTTTTTTGGGTATAATATGAATCTGTTGACTCTTTGAGCTTGACTGAAGTCAGATGAAGTTTTTCCGATCTTTTTCACATGAGCTGTCAGGCCTCTCCTATCCCATGTTTGTAGATTTTTCTTTTCTGCTGCAGTTCTAGGATTTACATGTCATACTTGTGAAAAAGGGAAAAAACCCAAATCCATCACTTATTCTGCATTGGGAGAATAATAGAGCCAAATGGCATGTCAGAAGTTTATCATCAAGCATATAACAGCAGTCTTAGAGAGTAGTCCTGTGGCTGATTTAATATTGGTAACTGAGTCTGTCTCTGAAGAGAGTCCATTACTCAAAACTTGCAGTTTTGAACACCAAATGTTAGCGTTCAACATTTGGTCAAATGCTTTTGCAGAATAAAAGTATATCTAAGTATTTTCCTGGGATAAGTGTAACATTTTTATTTAAAAGGAAATGTTCTGTAGTTGTCATAATATTCTTTTTTTTTTTTTGGTCGGGTCGTGGTGCCTGAATTCTGGGCCTGGGTGCTGTCCTTCAGCTCTTCAGTTCAATGCTAGCACTCTACCACTTGAGCCACAGTGCCACTTCGGGGATTTTTTTTTTTGCTTATGTGGTGCTAAGGAATCGAACCCAGGGCCTCAGGCATGCAAGGCAAGCGCTCTACCACTGAGCCACCATCCCAGCCCTGTCATAATATTCTTAATTAAGACAAATAGGAAATGTTTTGCCAATAGCAGGTGACTTGTCTAGAGTCATGTAATTCACTACTGCTCTGTTTGTATGCCCACTTAAATGCTGATGCAGTTTGTCAGATAAACAGAAACTTCAGAGAAAAGGGAAAGGTAGTATATTAATTCCTCATTTTCTTTTTCTGCATATTTAAATATAACTCCACAGCATTTTCTCAATGTGCACTAACCATGTATAGACTATCCATGTGTATTTTATTTAAAGTAAGAAAAATTAATAAAATAAATAGTAATACTCTTTAAGTTAATTTCAGAAAATAGTTTTCTTAGGAATTTGGGCATCCAGTTTCCCTTGGAGATTTAGATCCATACCACCTTCCCCTGTAGTCTCTCTTGTCTCTCGTCTCTTTGTCTCTGTACTATCTCTGTCCCTTGCTCTTTCTGTCTCTTTTGCCCTTTTTAATTGTGCTTTACACACAATCAGTTTATGACAGAATAACATGAATTTGCTCTTAAGGACTCACAGCATGGAAAACTTTTGTTTATTAATGGAGAGATATATGGACAATTTCCAGATTTTGCAGATAAAGGAAGTACATGAAACCTATTTAGTATATAAGCCATATTTAGTAAATACCCAAATACTACCCAGATTTCTCCAATATGCTTTTCTTTTTCCCATAGGAGTTGATTTTATCTTTCTTATTCCTAAGCTTTGCCCTTGGGCACTTACTGCTTTAACAGTGTTGAAAATGGAACAGATTTTTCAAGAATATCTATTACTTTAAAAGAGCTTTGTTGATATAGTAAAAGCTCAAATAACCAGGTTTATTTTTTTTTTTGATCTTGAATATAAGCTCCTTTTCTCTCCTTTGAAAAATTGATTTTAAGCAGTTTAGCAAAGAAAACAAAACAAAACAAAAAAATCCAAAACAGTGTTTCCAAAGAATGAACAGCCTAGGGCTAGCCTCTATACATCTGACCCAGTGTTCTCCTCTCCCATAAGTTCCAGTGAAAATTGATGCCCCCTTATTCTGATAAGACCCATTTTATCATTCATCAGAGATTTGATTATATTTACCATATTGTACTTATTAAAGGAAAGTATACTTTCATACATTTTAGACAGGTTTTCAGTACTAGTGACTGAGTCTAAAAGGTTTGAACTAAGGGCCTCATGCTTGTTAGATAAGTGCTCTGCCTTTTGACCCATACTTCTAGCCCTGCTTTTGTTGGTTACTTTGGAGATGGAGTTGTGAAAACTTTTATGCTTATCTTGCCTCCAGCCATGATCCTTCAGATCTCATTCTTCTGAGGAGCTACAATTATAAACATGAGCCACTGATGCCGAATTAAGGTTTTATAAGTAAATTTAGAAAGTCAGACTAGGCTATTTATCTTCTAGCTTGTTCAATACAAGTTTGTATGTGTTTTTCTCACAGTGTGGAAATCCTTGAATTTATTAATCCAAAGAGGTGTATTATCAGCAGTAATAGTACCTTATAAAGTTGTAGTTTAGAGTATCCTTTGCTTCCTCTGCCCCAGTAGTTTCACGTTTCTATTTTGCAGTATATTCTACATGAGTCCATTAATATTTAGATTTTTATGTGACTTTTTACTTATCTCATATCCGGGAGTCCATTTTTATAGACTCCATAATGGGATTTTTAACTCAAAAAAATTTTTTTTAATTGGATGTGTATAGAATCATGAGTCAAATATGTGAAAGATAGAGAACCATACAGTTGAGAGCATTGGTGGTGTTGGTGGTGTAGTGATTATCATAGCTGCTTTCTAGAAGCATACAGTTAGAAAACTGTAGTATGAAAAATAGGTAAAGCTATGGTTATTAGTAAAATTAGTTAATTCTTGAGTGATACTCAGTGTAAAGTATCTATGTTTAAAACTAGATGGGCTGTTTATAAAAAAAAAAAAAAAAAGAATCCCAAGCCCAGGAGTTTGGGGGGCATGTAGGTTACTCTCAGAATGCACATCTGTGTCAATGATGGGTGGAAAATTTGGAGGCTAAAACTTTGACCTCTCTAAATTACTGTTTAGAAAGAAGTTCTAAATGTATTAAAATGTCAAACTGATTCCTTTTTATGATGTATTCTTGCAGACATTTTCACGTTTTTTTAAAAAATTAATTTTCATTATTAAAAGATTGGGTACAGCTTATCAGACTTTAAAAAGAATGCCAGGTAGCTAAACTGTAGGATTAATAGAACATGTTATTTTTCACACTGAACTTAAAAACTTCTAAAAATAAATTTATGTACATATATATAGACACAATCATATTTATGAGGTTGTCCTTAAAGCCTGGTAAGTGACAGATTTGTCATAAAATTTATGACTTACTAGTATTCATAGTAACTAATTGTTACACTTTATGAATGACATAGCCTCTGGCTAGAATTAGTATTAAGAAAGCTGCAGAGAAAACATTCATCCAGCTCTTACCATGTTAAGTTAACCTAAATAAAGTACAAATCAAATTTGTGTGACTTACATATTGAAATATAATGATTTTTGAAATAAAATGATTTTTTTACTTTAGATAT